ATATTTTTTAAAGTGGATCCTAAAACCAGTAGAAGTCAATTTATATCATAATTCTCATGTTCTAATACATATCATGCAAATCAAAAAATATATATTATCGAAATTTAAATCATATTCTTAATAACAGAGAAAATATATATTTTAACACATTATGAATATTTATGATTATGTGATAGAAAATAAAAACAATGTGGAGGTCGAAACCAACACAATAGAATTTGTTAGGGTTTTTAGAGGAAATCTGAGATCTCTGAGTTAGAACTACTAAGACAAGAATAAAGATGTAAATTTGCTGTAATGAAAAGCTTTATTGATTCTTGCAAAGTGTTTGTGAGTAAAATTGCGGATCCCTTTCTCAAGAGATGTACAAGTCTATTTATACAAGTTTTAGGTCGGCTAGGCCAACTCCTAAAGAGATAAGGAAGATTTCCTATTTTCTAGGAATTTCCTGTTATTGAGGCCGATTCTATCTTCATAGGCTTTCGGCTATATCGAAGGAATCCATCCGTGTTGTCATCGTGTTATTAAACACATCTTGTTCCTTTGACTTCTTAAGGATCTCCTCGAATATGTTCTTGATCTGAGCTAGGGTTTCAGGGTTCGTCTCTGGCGGTGTCTCTTTCTCTTTGGATCCGTCCGCCGTAGTGTTCTGCCCGCCAGATCCACCTTCGGCGAGCTCTTCTTGTTCCTTCTCGTTACGATCTCCGTCGATGGTCATCTTGTTCAAGTCGCTTAGTGGTTCTTTTCGTGAAAAAGAGTCTCAAAATTCCCCACAGTCGGCTCCAAATTGTGGAGGTCGAAACCAATACAATAGAATTTGTTAGGTTTTTAGAGGAAAGCTGAGATCTCTGAGTTAGAACTACTAAGACAAGAATAAAGATGTAAATTTGCTGTAATGAAAAGTTTTATTGATTCTTGCAAAGTGTTTGTGAGTAAAATTGCGGATCCCTTTCTCAAGAGATGTACAAGTCTATTTACACAAGTTTTAGGTCGGCTAGGCCAACTCTTAAAGAGATAAGGAAGATTTTCTATTTTCTAGGGATTTCCTGTTATTTAGGCCGATTTTATTTTCATGGGCTTTCGGCTCGTCACATACCTCTTTTGGGCTTGACCTTGTCAACTTATGTCTTGGGCTTTGAGCTCGTCACCTCGCCCTATGATGCAACGAGTCCCCTGGCGAGCTCTTCACTTCAACTCGCTCTAGACAGCTCGCCAATCTCCTACTTAGCTCGCCAAACCTAGTCAGCTCACCAGTCTTTGTTCAGCTCGCCAATCTTGGTCTGCTCGTCGACTTGTCCATTGACTTAGTCAGCTCGCCAAAGAAAGCAACACTTAGTCATCTCTTGATGATTTCAACTCAGGGGAGTTTTGACCCCAACAAACAACTAAAATACTATATAGTTAAATCAGAAAAGAGTAAATTTTATGTTAGTAACCTCATAAAAACTATAAATAATGTTGTGAACCATCAAATAAGTACATGATTGATAATTGTAGTTTATTAATGTCATTGTTTTTATTTCTCACAGAGATTTATATTTTTTTGTTTTATTTTTGCATGGTTGTGTATATTTTTAAATTTTTAAATTGAGGTTTATATAACCTTTTTGATTTTTGTATTTTCAACTCATATAACTTTTTTTATTATTCATTTTTTAATTATTTTAATTGAGATTTTTATTCTATATGTATTATTTGTTTATTTTATGATTTTTGTCATGTCTATATTTCATTTTAAACTGTGTTTCTTAATTATTATTGATAATATTATAAATTTTACTTTTTATTATTTGATTAGTAACTTGACAATTACTTTTTAAATTTTTACTTTTCTTAATTAATTTTAAGTTTTAACACATTCTTCATCTGATCAATATTAGTACATGTCGCGTGAGTTATAATTTTGTTTATGTGTCATGCTGATATAAAAATGTATTGCGGTAAATATTTTTGATTTTAAAATTTATAACGCCTATAATTTGACAAATGTAATTAGATTCTATATTACGACTCGCACAAATATTTAATATTTATTTTATCATTATATTTTAATATATTTTATTAAAAAATTAATTTATTATATTTATCTCATACTAAAATTGACTCATACATGTTATTGTATTAGTAAAATCACATGGAACATTTTCTTTTGTCTTTAACTATTTAGATAATTTATAATGGAAAAAATTTATTTTGTAATATAAAAATTTAAAAATATTACATATTTTAGAATGATTTTGTTTTATTTTTCTTAATTAATCCATAATCCTTATTTAGAATATGCTCCTTATTTTCTTTTTAATTGTTTTTGTTAATATTAGAAATATTACATATTTTAGTAAAACAG